TACCTGTTTTTGCGAGATGCGGAATCACCCAATCACTTCCACAAAGTTAGGAGACTGAACAATGCGGAACAATGCCATGGCGTACTTGTACAGCACGAGTACAGTACTCGAGTACGGTGATGGAACTCCTTATCCTGGAAGGACCTTCGCGGATAACTTCAGACGAGGCTTCGCATAAAATGGCTGCTTCGAGTAGAAAAAGAAAAAGGGAACCACTTGGCCTATTGAAAAGGTAATGCCAATGATGATCTCATGGTCGGTCAACTTGTATGCACCCAGGCTGAAATTAAGCTTCTCGGTTCGGAAAGAAGTAAGCGACAGGCAAGAGTGTTGATGCGACCTGATTAAGAGGCAGACAGGACAGGAACCAAGCACGCCCTAGATTCCAAGAGCCCCTATGTATGATAATTATGATATACACTCACACCCCGTTAACCCGGATCGCGTTGAACCGGATACCCCGCTGAACCGGAAACAATTGCTGGTAGCTGCATTTTCTCACCAAATTTGACCTGTTGAACTGGAAGAAAGGGTGTTCGGATTCATATGAGACTTTGGAAAATCTCAATCCATGTTCCTATAGAATTTTGGTCTGCTGAACTGGATACTGAGGGTAGTCTCAGTAAAGCCAGGATGAAAGAGGGAAAACGGCGGCTTCAGGTGTAAATAATGAGTGAACGAGTAAATAGATAAACTACAGAGAACTCAGATCCCAATATGAACACTATCCTGTGATTATCGAGCAATGCAGCCAACGAACTCAACCAAGAAGGTGGCATTAACTGCCCTTCAGAAATATGAACTTTACTGCCTTTGTGTCCAAAATCCTCAAATGAAGTTTGCCGATTTTACCCTTCTTGTGGAGTGCCCTCTGTGTTCAGATGGAAAACCATTGGCAGTTTTGAGTCTTTCTGATCATTTGTAGGGGTGGAGAGAACAGGTCAAAGAGGATCCACCTGCGGGTAAAGTTTAACTATGATATTTATATCATGTATAATACTAAGAGATAAACTATAGAAACAAGTGGAAATAAACAGAAAGAAAGGCCTAGTACATACCCATTCTTAGAGCATTTTCTAGCACTTTAGATAGATGCTGCAGAATATGCCAAAGTTCCCATTACCGATGATATTATGTACACTCAAGCAACAATTATTCAGCAAGAGTTAGAGAAAGTAGGGGTAGATGAGCCATACGATAGGTTTGAGATATCAAATGGATAGTTGAAGCGGTTTAAAAATGGGCATAATATTGGTAGACTCCGGGCACAGGACCAATCTGGCGATGTTGACCAGACAGCTTTACTAGCACAGCGCAGATATCTATCCAAACAGTTAGCAGTATTTTCTCCTTAGTACTTCGATAATTGTGATGAAAGTGGTCTAGTATTCAATAAACAACCTCAGTCATCCAATGTATGGCTAGAAAAAGGAAAGCAATTAAGAGGAGGAAAGGATGATAAGATTTAGATTACAACATTTCATATAGTGAACGAAGCAGGAACAGACAAGTAGAAGATTTGGGTTATTGGACATGCTGAGAAGCCACATGCCTTTCGCCAAAATAAAGTCAATCTAGCAAACCTACCAGTCATATATCATTATAATAAGAAGGCCTGGTTGCTAACTTGGCTGTGGTATAAATTCCTCCACAGATTGAATGATGAAATGCGAATCGCACAACACTTTATTGCTCTTATTATGGACAACTACCCTACTCATCCCCTCCTACCTCTCTACCTATGGACTATATAGGCCCTAAATCTCCTACTCTAACAAACATCACTTTTCTTTATTTGCCTCCTTGTGCTACCTCACTTCTCCAACTGCTCGATGCATGAATAATTACCTCTTTTAAGGCAGCCTATCCAAGACGCTATGCTCAATTTATGGTTCAACACTTTAATCAACACGGTGAAGCACCTTTCAAATTAGATATTCTACAGGCTATCTATCTAATCGCTGACTCCTGAGAGTCTGTTACTCAATCAACTATTATTCATTGCTGAAAAAGAGCTGGAATTACCAAGAATATCAGCATTCAAGGCTCTACCGTCAATGAGAATCAAATAGTAGATCCAGGTGAGGAAGGTGAGATAGTAAGCCCTGTCAAGCAGTTTATCAGCATTGAGGAGAGGGAATGCTGTCAAGCTTTCTCTGATTTAAGGAATACTGGGCTAGCAGACTTTCAAAACATTGAAGAATGCTTTGATTCCTACTTTTCCAGCCCAGGTATTAGCAAGGAGGATGATGACGAAGACTTCTTTTTACCCCAATATACCCTTCCTAATGCTGTTGCCATTGTTTCAGGAGAGGTTACTACTGGCATTCTACTCCAACCAAAAGACTCTCTCAATCATGTTAAGTCTGAGAATGAGGAGGAAAATTCTTTCCCAATCCCCTTAATCAGGGTTGAGACTGCCGCTCACTATACCTATCAGCTTGGACGATATCTCGCAGTCCTTCCAACCACCAATCTACCATTATCCATAAATTCTAGTCTTTCAATTGAGAAATTAATTTGTTTTTCTCATAAGCTTCACTCAGCACTTCTCCGGTACCCCTCTCTACTCTCTTTTTTTATATATTCTTTACATATCTAATTATTTATAGTTATCACAATACTTGTAAAACTAAACAGACCACTATTTCCCAGTTTTTCAAACACCAGTCCATGATAGCTGCTTGAGCAGACCTACCAGTCCAACTACCCACTGAGGATAAAGGTTGTAAGGAGTGTAACGTGTTCACAAGGTGCTAATCACGTTATCGGTAATAGATACGATAGTTGGCAGGTAGCCTGCTCTTCCAGAGAGGAGGCGAGAGCTGAGAACTAAAGGAGGCTTTGGAGGTGTACTGAGGAACAAAGAAGTAACCATTCAACCAAGTATATTGAAATACTATCTGTTGAAGTCTGCCTCTTCTATCGTAGAAACAGGCAGTCTTTAAATACACAAATCTGTTCATGTCTAGCATGAACGAAACTAATCAAAGGTATTAATCAATACACTTTGGTAAAACTACTTAAGTATCAAAGCATAAAACAAAACCAAGTATCAAAGCGATACTTAAAACAAAACATAAAACAAAAACAAGTATCAAACGATACTTAAAACAAACCAAGTATCAAAGCGATACTTAAAACAAAACATAAAACAAAACCAATAGCTGAGTACCCGTACCGGTTACAAGGAGGATGAAATTGATATGAGATGTGAGCAGACAAAGTTTGTAGGAAAGGGAAAGGGAAAAGAAATCAGAATAGGTCTTGCTAGGCTGGTGTTGAACTGGAATATGGACATGGAGGTGCAGTATCCTGATGCTAGTAGCACTTTGGAGGAGGAAGAAGAACATGCAACTTGTGTGCCTACAAGATGGAAAACCAGAAGTGTTAATGCTGCCTATGAAAACTTTTCCTACTTATTACTTTAACAAATATAAAACACCTTTATGATCTTTATCCTTACTGCGACGTTATTGTTACGCCAAGGAAGGTTCTTCACAAAGACGAGTTAGAGAAAGCTTACGATAGGCATTCCCGATAAAAGACGAAGGTCTTGTACTATTGGTAATGTAGGCAGAGGCCTAGAGCTATCGTAAGACAAAGGAAGAAAGAGATAAAAACGAGAAGTATCGTTTCCCGTCGCCAAGAACTAACTATCTAGAGAGGGATCGTTACAATAAAGCTCCTGTAAGAATTGAGTTAAACCTTCACCTTTTACTATCAACGAATATGAACTCTCTCTCTCTGTTGTTCCGGATACCCCGTTGTCCTGGATGAAATTTCAGAAATCTAGCCATCCGGGATAACGGGGTGTGAGTGTACGTATCATAATACCGGTGAGTTAGGTATTTCAATCATTTTAACCCTTGCCCCACAGCCCCCTTTCCCCCACGCAGCGGGGTAAATGGTAGGCGTAAATTAGAATACAATGCAGGACAGCCTCACTGTTACAAGAAAGAAATTCGTTGAAGATTCTACCCCTCTCCACAAACTTCCCGATCTGTATCCCTTCCGGTCAGCCTTGAAGGGGGGAGGGGGAGAGAGAATGGGAGCAGTGGTTGACCACTTCTCGAGTACAGTACTGTACTCGGTCGTTGATTAGAGACTCGTTACCAACGACCCGGTAAGTCGGAGCAGAAGCTACCGCTGCGTCATTCAATTTCATTTCTCCAGTAGTGATGCGAAAACAGAGTGAACTCGCAATGGAAATGGCGTACGATACTCTAGTGAGTGTCCCCTAATGAATTCAGACGAATACAATTCGAGGATTGTAATTCTGATAGCAAAGGGAGATGTTCCCCCCCCCCCGAAAAGTGCACGGCGATAAGGTTGGGGGTTACCCCATCTACGAGTATCGCACAGGACCGCAAATATCATACCCAACCTGCTGATTATGATACAATTCCCCATCCCAAACGTGTTCTAACTAACTTATACTCGAGTAAAAGCGTCGCTCTACCCCGACACCGTCTCGCTCGCATGGCAATGGACCAGAAGAAACGGCTCAAGTACCTGTAGCAGCCCGAATTCAAAACCCTACCGTACCGGTACTCGCACAATGCTGAAGCATCTTATTTACAAGTACATTGTCCGCACGCTCGCTCTAGATCCGCATTCGGACGTATCGTGAATTGTGTGGTTACTCCCAGTTGCAGTCTATTGAGGAAATCCTTTGTTAAGAATTGGTCAGACATCTTTGGGCAGAACACATTCTGTTTTTTTCTTTTTCTTTCTTATGCTGCACAATTTTCTTTTTGATTCTTTTCCTTTTGATTCCTTTGGTTGGATGTGACGTTGGTGTGATCTGCAGCAAGGACTCCGTTGAGGCACTAGGGCGAGCATGTGTGCGTCCTGACAAATTTTTTTGGCTTATCTCTTGTCTTGGGCTACTATGATATGATACGAGTAAGGTAGTCTACCTACAGCGGCGGGAAACATCTGGGCATAAAGATTCCTTGACCCCCCCCACTTCTCCCGCCCTTTCACCTCACAATCATACCGCACATTGCGCATTGCACATCTACCATCCCCCCCACCACCACCACTCCTCCGAACCTCACTTCATCCTCATAACCACCACCACAACCACCACCACCAATTCACAAACAACATCACCATTGAAAGCAACGAGAAACGTCATACCACGAGCCACCAAAATGACCGGACAACCCTCCCTCTACGCCTTCCCCGATAATTCCACCCTCCAGAAGACCCTCTACGACTACATCCTGCGAGCCCAATCCGCCGCCCTTATGCGGCACCAAGTGTTCAAGATTGCCGTCTCCGGTGGTTCCCTCCCCAAACTCCTCGCATCGCCAGACCTCCTCGCAAGTTCGGACATCCACTGGGACAAGTGGGAAATCTTCTTCGCGGACGAGCGTGCGGTGCCGCTCACGCACCCGGACAGCAATTACGCCCTACTGGAGCAGGAATTACTCAGCAAGATACCGAAGACGGGGCCACAACCCACCGTACACCCCATCGACCCGGGGAAGCTATCTGACACACAGGACCTAGCGAACGCGTACGAGGAATCTCTCATCAGGTCATTCGCTGCAAAGGACTCGGTCAAGCTGCCCGTGTTCGATCTGCTGTTGCTGGGATGTGGGCCCGACGGGCACACCTGCTCCCTGTTTCCTGGTCATGTGTTGCTGCGCGAGAAGACTGCCTGGGTCGCTGCTATCGAGGATTCGCCGAAGCCACCGCCTGAGAGGATTACGCTTACGTTGCCGGTCGTCACGCATGCACACAAGATTGCCTTCGTTGCGGCGGGTGCTGGGAAGAAGGAGGTTTTGAGGAAGATTTTTGACACCCATCCTGAGGCGGAGGCCGGGGAAGTACTTCCTTGTGCATTGGTGAATCTGGGAGCGGGTGATAAGGTTAGCTGGTTTTGTGATCAGGCGGCGGTGGAGGGTGTATCGTTCCCAAGGAAGAGTTCGCTATAGTATTCCTATGAGTTTTGGCTGAGCGTTGTATATCCTTCCCTCTCGGTGGGGGTTGAGTTGATTTGTTTGAAAACCGAATAAGCCCAGGATGGGTGTGGATGGAAAGCATAACAGGGGATTGTGATATCATAGTGTAGCAGCCTTGATTTCTACAAGTGCTTGCGATTAACTACTATAGTCATTCACTAATACTGTTCTTACCTCTTTTACGTTTTGTCCTCAAACCAGTGTTTCTCTAGACGGATAGACAACGAATGCCACGATTTTTGCTCTTTCACAATTGCAAATTTTTCTGACTACCAAATATCATACGAGGGAAATTATCATGGTGGATCGTTAAAAGAGAAATATGCTTTAGAATATATCGGCAGCGGGGGGACAACGAACAGGAGGGAACAAATTACCCTACCAAATTTGGCTAGATTTTTGGCGTAGACTATCGTTCCCCGTCCCCCCCCCCCTCTCTATTCGTCCCCCGCCCCAACTGTGTCATCACATAGAGTACTCGTACAAGAAAATAAAAAAGAAGATTGACCCGTGACGAAGGTTAGACCGTCTAATGACATAGTTCAGCTCATACAATACCAATCTCTCCACCCACAGCGGAATCCCCAAAACAGCAATCCCACAACCTAACGGTACTAATTACTGTATGGGAGGAATGGGCATCCGTATCGACATTATTCCCAAAGGAGATAGATAGATAGGTAGATAGGTAGATGTAAGAATATTATGATACCTGATAGACGAACAACGAGGTTTCGTACAATCTTCAACAACTCGTCCAGTCGAATAATCTTATTCTCGGTTAATAAAAAAAAACATAATCACATCTATAGCAATAACTTGATACTAAAACCTTCTTCCGGTCCATTCATCCGCCGGAAAACCGCGATTTATCTTTCGTCGAAAGGGGAGAGAGAGAAAGTGGTGCACGATGGTGGATTTATATAATAATATTGTATACTCCCGCCTCCTCATACAGCAGCAGCATAGTAGTACTAGTATTTTAAGACCTGAGGTACATGATCGTAGGTATTCGTGGGATTATCATATACATGGATCGGTCGGGTTCATGGGGAGTGACGGGGGTTTAGGTCTATCTATCTACCTACCTACCCACCCATCTGGGCCATCTCTCTCTCTCTCTGGATTTCGTGTATTATACAGAACAGTATTCTTTCGGTAAGGACCAAAGTTAGAAAGAAAAATTATTCTAATTATCCGGCTTGATCATGGAGTGAATATGATCCCGCTCGGTGAAGGAGAAAATTCGTCTCTGGAATAGTGGATCTTTAGGAATCCGTTCCAACTCTGAGTTGTTTTATCTATCTATCTATCTATGATACGATGGTGGTATTCACCTTCCGTGGCTTGATCTGGTGTTATCGCTACTCGGTTATACGTCAATTGGTCCGAGCGCGCTCCTCCGTGATGGTAGGGCAGTTCTGGGTAGCAACGTTCAAGTCTCTCCACGGGCAATGATAAGCCTGAGTGTGATGCCCGGTGGGATAACGAAGGCTCCAAGTCAGTCCATATTCCACCTCCGCATCACAGGTTACCAATGAACCTGGCCTCGGCTGACCATGACGTCCCCTGCGCCGGATTACCCTACTCACACCTTGATATAATACTCCTTGCGATATAATTAGCTTCATTAAAGATCACTCGAAGTCTCGACCTCGACGATATCTATGACATGATACAATAGGGAATGGTAGATATACCGAAAGCGCAATCACTCCAATCAACATCCAACGGAAGGGGGCGATTCGCGAGCGAATGCGTAGGCAGGCCTCATGGTATAGAGCACGTCGCTGAGTCTATTGTTCGAAAGAAATGATACGGGAGCGCACAGCAAAGGCCGGATTTAACGCCCCCAAATGATTAACCTGACCGGATGAATTGCTATGACGGACGTCCGATGGAGCATCAGTGGTTCGAACCCCAGGTCGGAAGAAAAAAGGCACGATGCGACGGCAGCAGCGACGAAAAAAATAAGAAAGTAAGAAAATAAGAAAAAAGCTCACGTTCGCAAAAATAAATATCGTTTCTCATAATTTTTATTCCCTCCTTTCTGGAATATCCCCCGGACCCCCGGATCACCACCCAAGTCGTAAGGAAGCAAACGAAAATAAGAAGTAAAAACTAACTTTACATGCCTAACAGATAACCACGGCCCCGGTAGCCAGCGCTGCCCACCATTTTCCCCTACCTCATCCTAAGGTGGGGAAATCTCTGCTATGGAAGGTGCAATAGGGCTGGTAGGGGGTAAAACCAGAAACATAGTATAGGCGGTAGAGCAAACACGAAAGTGAGATTCGAGTGGGGCACTCCGCCAAAACGAAAAAAGATAATGGGGATGGTGATAAAGAATGAAACTAAGCAAGAACAGAGAGCAGGTTGGGAAAAGAGGGAGGGGTGGAAGGAAAGAGAGATGCAGAGCAAACAACAGAAAAAGTACAAGCCCCAAAGAACTCCCTTCAAAACCAACAATACGTCCTGGGCAACGCCAGAGATACCGGGACCATCTAATACCCTTATCAGAATCACAGTAAAACCACAATCGCGACCCCCCCCCCTCCTAGTAGACCTGTCCTCCCATACCACCGCCTATCCCCATTCCCTGCTGTTGTTGTGCCCTTGCAGCTGCCTCCAACCTTGCCCTCTCTGCGCCTGCTTGCTGTTGACCTTGCATTATACCTGCGCGGAGTTGTTTTAGATCAGCGAACCACGGGTGCCTGAGAGCATCCTTGGCGCTGATTCTCATTTCGGGCCTCAGTTGCAACATTCGGCTCAGCAAGTCTAGGCCCATGGGGTCAATCTGCGGAAGGATCATACGGAGGTCCTGGGTAGCGTAGATGTGGAAACCACTCCTGTACTCCGGGTACTGTGAAATCCCAGGCCAGGAGCGCTCGGAGGGAGTTCCCATCAGACGGAAAATCTTCTGCAATTGATCTTCATTGGTGGTCCCGGGGAAGAGCGGTCTTCCGGTATACATTTCAGCCATAATGCACCCCGCGGACCAGATATCTATACTTGTGTTGTACGTTCTAGAGCCAAGAAGTACATCTGGCGCACGATACCACAATGTTACAACCTCGTTCGAAAAGGTGTTAACCGGAATACCGAAGGCTCTAGCAAGTCCAAAATCGGCAAGCTTGAGCATTCCTTTGTTATTGATGAGAAGGTTCTGCGGCTTCAAATCCCTGTGCAAAACACGGTTGTCGTGGCAAAAGGCGATCCCCTGGAGTAGTTGATGCATGAAGGACTTGATGGTAACGTAGTCGAGAGCGCCGCGATCGCCACGATGGTCCATGTACTTCTTAAGATCCCGATCCATGAATTCAAAAACTAGCATAAGTTTCGATTCGGTATGTATCACATCGTGGAGCGAAACGATATTTTCGTGCTTAAGTTCTTTCATCAAACTAATTTCACGGATCGCGGTTGAAGGCGTTCCCTCCTCGCTATCGAGGTGGATCTCCTTTAGAGCTACTAATTCCCCGGTTTGCCGATTCCTTCCCTTAAATACCTGAGGGCGTGGTCGCCTGATTAGTTTCGTTGGAAATTTCGCAATGCAACGAGAAGGCATAAAGACACGAGTCCTACCGTCGCATATGTTCCTTCGCCCAGTTTCTCCAGTTGCTGGAAAGAGCTCGGATGGCGTTTGCCAGTTTGGTCCATAGTCGCTTCCTTAACAGGTGCACTAGGGCCCTTTTGCTCCGGAGTTATTCTTCTGCTCTTTCGAAACCTTTCTTCACAATCCTCTCGGCCTATTCCTGCTTCCGGCTCTGAGAAATGTAAATCCCCTTCCTCGTCTTCCGTATCCTCCCTGCTACTCTCTGAAGCGGGGGTTGGCGGGTTAAAGGGTGAGCCGATGTCCAAGCGCCTGGATGGGAAGTGCTGACGCTTAGCGGAGGTGAACCTGGGATCCCAGAGAAGGGAGGCGACGGTACAGAATATTTCCTGTCGGGCTGTCTGGTTTTGGCGGAGGTGGTTCTGTTGTTGTTGTAGTAAGTGTTCAGAGCGTTGTTGTTGCGAGTCCGGCAGGTCGGAATGTGGCGCCAGCGGGTCTATTTTTGGAGGAACAATGACAAGGGGCGTGCAAGAAGGGAGCAAAATGGGCACAACACAGAGGCGAGGAGACCAATGAAAGTCGTGTCGGCTTATAAGGGCGGGAAGCAAGACAAAGGGTGATAGAAGGAGAGAGGAGGGGAAAAGGGGGAAGAAAGGGTGGCTTAAACGTCAGGAGTATAATATGGTAGATATTTTTACCCGAAAGGGATGAAAAGAAACAGCAGATGAATGGCGAGCGAGCAGTGATGGATAGCGGGGGGAGGAAGGTTGAAGTTTGTTTCATGGTCAAAAGAAACGAGGAGTGAATCATAACCGACAGCATTCTAGCGGTTAATCCTTGCTAGCGCTAACTTACAGTTGCAACATACTGTAATGCAGCTAATAGGGGTAGTGCATGAAGATGGGCAGAAATTTTATTTTCATTTTCATACATTACTTAAGTTACCCAATCCTCCTGGCCCCAAGGAGCACTGTCCGACGCTGTATGTCATGATATATGCCGGTATGATAATATTATGATACTATCAAATAATATTATAATAATAATAATTATTTTATTATGAGACTTTTTGTGTTTATGAACAATAATTGAGTAATTTTTTTTCTTTTCCCCATAGCAGCAACTGTTCGGTACTGTACTCGAGTAGACTATCGCACAACTGACGTTCCGCATCTTCACACCCGGTGCTCCTGCGCATATAATACTGTATCCTAGCCTTTTCACCGCTGCTGCCGATAGTGGGGGAAACCAATCACCACCGCTGAATTGACGCAAAATCTGATATTCCAAAAGTAGAGGAAACATATTTATCTTAACGTCTATCCACACAGGCTTTTCGGATTTCACATGTATTCTGCGAAAAGCTATGATACATACGAGGCTTTTTGCCCAACACCTTTTTTTGCCCGCAGTTTTCCACTCTTGGCCAATCCAGCCACTTCACACGAAACACGAAATCTCGCATGCATCGAAGATCGGCTAATGACCGGAGCGACGGCTCATTCCTTCCCGCGTTAGGGATCATATTTTCTCACTCGTAGGAACGGCGAATCGAATCTTTAGGCTATGAGTCCCGCTCCTCTAGTTGGTGCGCCGGTCGAGGCCATGATTTAGCGACCCTTGTGTGTGTTTTGGTGTTCGCAGTCATGCACTTTCGATGCGTCGCCTGACTGGCAGATTCTGTGGCTATCCCCCGGTATGATAGCAATGCCAAGATGCGTGCAAACGATCACATTTCAATGCTATGATACAAGTACCGAGGTCCAAGTAAGGCCTACAACTGATGAGGCAGGAGTGTTTTTAAAGTGCGACCATGATGAAAACGGGCGGATGCTGCTGCAGCGGGAGTTATTCCAGTATTATCGCCCCCAGCACTTTGCTCCTGGTGGCAGATAGGGTTAAAACCCTGGACACATGAGAACAATGCAACCAAAAACAACAATCATAGAAGCAGCAAAAAAAGCAACTTTGACAGCGAAATCCATCACCTCTTGAACAGCCTTAGAAATTTGAGAAACAGGTTCCTAGGTAATTAGGGCACTGTAGACCAATCTATATCCTCGAGTTTTTTCTTAATTGATTTTCTTGCTCCGTTAATAGCCCGGGCTCCAGCATTCTAGGCGTATCCGGTTTTTGATTCTCGTCAGGAGTGGTCAAGTGTACTGTACTGTACAGCACACAAAAACCGTCCCACCATGTGCTGTTGCCGTTACTTGTACTATTAGATTTGGCGGAAGGCCGGTGAGAGCCTTAAAATCGATTGTATATGTAATATATATATATATATATATACACAGTACCATTTGTTAAGGTTATGATACTTCAATCCCAGTGCCAGGCCTATGGAGTAGGTGTATTATACAGGTAGCCTAAGGGATTCCGTTATTACAACACAGCGACATCCTTCCGTAGAAGGCATGAACCCCCACCATACAAGCCAGACATGAGGAGCAAAGTATGGTACAACTTGTATGATAAGTTGGTCAGTTCCGCACAGCCATTGGAAACTTACTAGCACGGATTTGTGAAGGCCCAGCACTCGGACAATACTTGCTCGTGTATACCAGTGTTTGCTCTCCCCAATGATTACGTGTAATAATTTCCCTTAATTTGGGTCCCACAAGTATTTGCCCGCATCTCATCCTCATCCGCATCCTCCCTCCCCCCTCCTTTCATGCATACGAATGTATAAACTAGGCAAACAAGAACAGTGGCCGAAGCCAGAACAGATTCTCCCATTTCTTCCCCCTCTATCCCTTCTCCTACACAACTTGCATATATATCCTACCCACCTCGTGCGAGCAGATCAATGGAGCCAAACGAGTCTACTCCTATCTCCCCCTATACCTCAGGCACAATTCTTGCAACTCAAGTCGATCTCGTCCCTGATGGCCTGAACCCAAAACCGAGGCCTCTAGCGCCGCTTCATTTCTTCGAAGTCGAGAGCCCCTTGCTACCCCCTCCCGGAACAAGCCCGTCGAGCGAACCGATAGTCAACCCGGTTCCAGTTACCTTGGGATTGTTTCCAGACACCTATTGCTGCAGGCAGAAGAATCCGCTAGTCCTTTTGATTCATGCTTTCAGGAGCCCGTTCCGTGCTGGTCGGGAGGATGTTCTTGGTGTGCTTACTGCTGATACAAGTAGGCCTCACTTCTCCCTTTCCCTTTCAAAACGATGTCCGGCGGTCTTCTAATGCCCACCTCTAACACTCCTTCCAGCCCAGGAATGCCCCTCTTATTTCCCTGGGACGATCCACTTTTGGCACAAAACCGGTGCCTCCCACCGCCTTAACGTCCTAGAGCAACTCGAAGCCCAAGGAATTCTCTCAAGAACCGGATACAGCCTCATCGAACCGTGCGCAAAAGAGGTTAGAGTTCTTCTTCCAGTTGTTTCTTGCTCAAAGGTTTGTTGGGGCTGTGGGCTCTGGGAGCAATTACGCCCCCCGGATATAAACGGTATTAGACATTACGGCAGACTCAAGAGATGCCAGGGATGTGGACAGAGCTTCTTTTGCAACACCGAGTGCCAGATGAGTATGTTAAGAAATACCATTCCTATGTTTTTGGTGGGCCATGACTGTTAAGCAGACATCGGTGTAGAAAGCTGGCATAAACATTCACCTCATTGCGTCGCCATGAAGGAGCATTACAACTGGGATCCTGACAGATAGAGGCCGAGAGGTACCCCTATTATCCAATAGACAGATTTCGTGTTTGCGTGTGATAAGCTGTTTGTGAGATCCTGCAGAATGAGTGGGCATTTTTAAGGAGTTCATATGTTCTCACTCGCGAAGATTAGTTAGCTATGATAGCTAGCAGTTGCTTTGTTTTTTCCTCTCCCGTTCCCCTTCAGCGCTGAAATGTCGCGGTATTACAAATGATAGCAGACATCGGCTTTGATACGTGCTGTTTTGCAAAAGTTGCGATAATAATAATACAATTCTTTATTGTGGATAAGAATAAGGGGTGGTATCATAAGTGGTCGAGTTGGTGAAGCCACTCGCTGCCACAAATTCTTGGGCAGAATTCCCAAAAAAACGAACGAACTTGTCTCTATGAATAGAGAAAATGATGCATAGCAGCGCCTAAAGGCTAGCCTAAAATACAGTGCCGCTCAGGGTATAGAAGTACACTACCCTACAAGACAGCACAGCTACGAGTACAGTTCTGTAGCACATCAGATCGTTAGTCGTACCGTACCTTTTACACCAAAAAGGATCATTTCCCTAGGTTTCCAACGCAACCAGAAGTTACAGCTATTTTCCGCCGAGTAAAACATTTGGCTGTCGCGATGAGCATGTCAAGGTTTCGGAGAGATAAGTGCATTTTTTGGACCCTGCATAAACTTCTGACATCACAAATTTCTCAAACCAAGTATGATACTGTAACCCACCTACAAGAGCTATGATACCGTAACTCGCAAATCCCAAGCACTCAAACCGATCACTCAGCACCGCACAAACCGCTCCATATTATGGAGGTCCGCGCTCCGGGACCCGAAAAAACCGCCACCCGGAAATTGACTTTGCTTGCTCTCCCCAGGGGGGTACTGTACATAACTCAGTACGGGATATGTGTCTCTGAGACTACCTGATACCCGCTCGGGAGGATGGGGGGGCAACGGGCACACTCGAATTTTGGTTGCGTTTTTTTTCCTTTTTGTTTCTCGCTGGTCGGTACGGTAATTTGGGTGCGAGCGGTATGATATGTAGGACCTTTTCTTTCTTTGGGCATTGGAAAAGTATTTTGGAGGAATCGTCTAGGGTATGATGCGCTCGAAATGCTGTAGACTGACTTTCATATCTTCCGGACTGCCGGACTCTGCAGAGGGTCGGCCCAGGAAATGGTAGTGCTTGTATACACTCCAGTGCCGCACTGTATCATACCGTAAAAAACGCTTGGAACGTAATGCCGTAGGATAGAGAGCCCGGGTAGGAACGGCTTCCTGGTTGTTAGTAAATACCGAATATATGTTATTAATTGGAATCCACCATCTCCGTCAGCCCGTCATCCCACAATAGGTTTGGTTTGACAGGTCAACAGAATTGCGAATACCAGTTAACGAGATCCAACACATCCAGGGGGCCAATCTCTCAATATACCAGGAAAACGCTAATCCTTCTCGGGGGGATCTGTCTCTGAATCTCAGGATTCTAACCAAGATGGTGGATTGCAAGAGTTTTCACGGTATGTCACTCTACAAGTCACGATACTGTGGCATGCCAAACAATAAACAAGTTTTGATAAACGCCATTGCATTCAATTAATTCAACCTTTAAACATCAATGGTATTCATAACCCCAGCCCTCGATGCACTTAACGAATGATTTCTTCGGTAAAGAAATACAAGGGGGGGAGGAGAGAAAATGAAATCCATTACCCTATATCTGTCGTTCGTCCATCACCATACTAACCGAAGGACAGGAAGAAGAAAAAAGTACACGAAGGAGAACGAAACAAAGAAACTTTTTTATTTGAAGAAGGAAACGTAAATCATAAAGTTTAGTCAACCTCCTCCATCGAGCTCTCAGGGGCTGCTGAAGATTCGGCGGCCGGAGCTGCCTCCGCCTCAGGCTCTTCTTCATCGTCCTTCTCCTCAATTTGGAGACCAAGAGCGATGAGGCGGTTGACACGCTGAGCAAAGGCATTAGGCTCCTCGAGGGTGAAGCCAGAAGTCAACATCGCAGTCTCGTATAAGAGAGTGGCAATGCTAGCGACGGCCTTGGAACCACCTTCCTCCTCAGCCTTCTCCTTCAAGGCCTTGATGATTGGTGATTTAGGAGAGATTTCAAAGGTCTTCTTGGATGCCATATACGAGCTCATCGAAGTATCTAGATCAATTAATGTCGGGATATGTCAACAAACACCGAAAGAGATAAACTTACCACGCAGAGCTTGTGACTTCATGATACGCTCCATGTTGGCAGACCAACCGAACTGACCAGTACGAATAGCAGCGGGAGCATCAACCAACTTGTGGGAAACGACGACCTTCTCGACCTTCTCACCGAGAACCTCCTTGAGAGTCTTAGCCAATCCCTCGAAAGCTTTCTCCTCCTCCTCACGCTGCTTCTTCTCATCTTCAGTCTCCTCAAGCTCGAAATCTTTGGTAATATCAACCAACTTCTTGCCATCAAATTCCTTGAGTTGAGTCATAGCGTACTCGTCAATAGGGTCGACCAAGAAAAGAACCTCGAAGTCCTTGGCTTTGAGAGCGTCCAAGAAGGGAGACTTGGAAACTGCCTTCAAAGACTCACCAGTGATGTAGTACATCTGCTTTTGGTGCTCGGGCATGCGGGTAACGTAGTCAGTCAAAGATGTGGCGTCGTCCCCGCTCTTAGTAGAGTTGAAGCGGAGAAGCTTGGCAAGGGCAGGACGATTTTGGGCATCCTCATGAATGCCAAGCTTAATGTTCTTGCTAAAGGCACTGTAAAACTTGTCGAACTGCTCACGGTCCTCGGAGATCTCGTTGAACATCTCAAGAGTTTTCTTGACAATGTTTTTCTTGATAACTTTCAAGATCTTGTTCTGTTGGAGAGTCTCACGAGACAAGTTAAGTGGGAGATCCTCAGAATCGACAACCCCCTTGATGAAACCAAGCCATTCCGGAATCAAATCAGTACAGTCGTCAGTAATGAATACACGGCGGACGTAGAGCTTAATGTTGTTTTTGGAGCGCTTGGTCTCGAACAAGTCGAAGGGAGCACGCTTGGGGACAAAAAGGATGGCGCGGAACTCAAGTTGGCCCTCAACCGAGAAATGCTTGACAGCAAGGTGATCTTCCCAGTCGTTGGATAGAGACTTGTAGAAGCTGGCATACTCCTCAGTAGTGATGTCGGAGGGGTTACGAGTCCAGATGGGCTTTGTCTTGTTCAGCTCCTCTTCCTCTTCCTTGGTCTCCTTCACCTTCTTGGTCTTCTTCTCCTTCTTTTCCTCTTCTTCATCGACCTGCGCAAATGTTAGATATGTAAAAAATAACACGAAAAAATCAAACAAACCTCTTCAATCTTGGGCTTCTTATCATCACCCTCTTCTGTCTTCTCTTCCTCCTCATCCTCGTCAGGAACTTCTCTCTCAACCTCTTTGGTGACGTGGAGGAAAATAGGGTATGAAATGAACTCGGAGTGCTTCTTCACGATCTCCTTAATCTTAGACTCCTCGAGATACTCTTGCAGACCATCCTTGATATGAAGGACAATCTTGGTACCACGCTTGATTCTTTCTCCGGTCTCATCCAATTTGATAGTAAAAGAACCACCAGCAGCCGACTCCCAGATGTATTGTTCTAAGATTGGGTTAGCTAAAAAAGGCCAGCAACAGTCAAGCGTCAAGGGAGAAGCTAACCATCTTCGTTCGACTTGGTAACAACCTCAACCTTATCGGCAACAAGATATGCCGAGTAGAAACCAACACCAAATTGACCAATCATCGAGATATCAGCACCTGCGGACAGGGCCTCCATGAACTGCTTTGTACCAGATCGGGCAATGGTACCAAGATTGTTTACCAAATCAGATTTAGTAAAGCCGATACCAGTATCAAAACTAAATTCAAAACATCAATCAGCAAAACTAAAGAAGCTTCCATAAAAATCAGGGAACATACATTGAAAGAGTCTTGGCCTCCTTGTTAGGGATAATGTGAATTTTCAGATCCTTCTCCTCTTCCAAGACGCTAGCGTCGGAAAGAGAAATGTAGCGAATCTTGTCCAAAGCGTCTGAGGCATTGGAGATCAATTCTCGAAGGAAAATCTCTAAATCAAAAGTAAGTTTGTGAACAACCGGAATAACCCAGACTCGAAAGCCGTACCCTTATTCGAGTATACAGTATTAATGATGAGGGAGAGCAACTGAGAGATCTCAGCTTGGAATTCGAAGGTTTCAGCCATGGCAATGGTTGTTTGCTATCTACGGACGGATACCAAATTAGCCTAACCGCAAACCAAAAAACATTAAATGAAAGCAAGCAGACGAATCCCCAGTCATATTTCCACAAAGCAGAGAGATGCCCATCGAAAGGAAGCAAATAAATTTGATAAGGCAAAGAGTGTGGGGTGAATAATAGCATACCTTCTCGGGTCTATGAATCTCTAAAGGTGCAGGGAAATAGAGAGGTGAATGAGGAGATGCAGGAGAAATTGATTGGGCTCTGAGAAAAGTCGAGAGTGTTTCTCTAGACGATGATTATTCTGAGGGAGAGGGAGGAAGAGGAGAGAAGTTGGGGCGAAGCGGTGGTGAATTTAGAGGGGGGAGTCCTGGTGCCAAGACTCGGCACCGCACATTCTAGTAGATTCCACACCCTCCAACAAAGCCGCAAAAACGGGATAGCCCCACCAAATAAAGCCCCGCGGCAAAGAAACCCAAAGAACCAGAGAAGGTGCTGGAATTGCTCTGATTGAAGCAGTCCCAGACCCTTTCCCCTGACTGTGCAAAATTTCGTCTCAATTTGCGAAATTTTTTCGTTGTTCAAAGTCACTGCGAAATAATTTACAGTTCCTCCGACCCCCTCGTATACCGCGGGGCTTCTCAGCCTCGTCGAGTTATCTTATCGCCAGTAGTTTGAATATCATACTGGTATCGCAGCCTGAGACCCCCTGTCCAATGTCTACAACTTTCTATACGTTTCTGTTCGCCCTCAGCTCTCTGACAACTCAGAACCCAGGCAACAATGGTGGAGTACCGGTACCGGAAGTTCCGCCTGGACAAAAGCGCTGTAACCCTTGCCGTTCCCGGAAATTGCCAAAAGGATATATATGTACCAGTATGGTAATGCCAAAGCAACTGGTCGCCCAAAGACGAACTTTAGGGATGAGCATACCAGCCAGTGGTAGGCACCTTACCGCATCCTCATCATTATCCTCACCACCATAATCATCATTCTCGTTTTCCAATTAGTTTCCCCGCCATAATATTCCATCTTTATTACGATAGCATCATACACACAGGTTCTACCATCTATCGGTACAGCGCAAACCTCCTAGCCTTTCATATCACACAGCTCGGTGACATATTCGATTCCGAGTCGTGCATTTCACACAAGAAACGACGCTACCCGCAGGCCTCCCGGCTTTTCAATTACAGTTGCCCCCCCGCTCAGCGAAACATCTGGCTGTTGCGACAAGCATGCCAAGATCTGGGGGGATCGTTGCAGCGCTGGACCCTGTGTGAACCCCTGAAACCGGAAATTTTTGAAATAGGTACCTTTTCATATGAGCTGCCATATAAATTCCTAGCGCCTAAACTGGATTTCCAAACTCTTCTACACAAGTGATTCTGCAGCAGGAGATTCCCAGGCCCCATCAATAGTGTGGGTGGTAAAACATTGATCCCCAAATCCTTGCCTACCCAATAACTCAACCCTGCGGGAACACACGAGGGGAGCAGCACAGCGACCCCGAATTGCCCACGCCCACCTCCCAATCCGATGCGGTTTTTCCATGTGGCAGCTAAGCACTTGTACAATAGGTGACCAACGACGGATTCCAAGAACTATACATAAAGGTCACAAAGACGCGAACAACAAGTGAACACTTCCCACAGCACCGAGTTTCAGGTCCAATCGAAAGAGCACCCCGGAGGGTATTCCCAACCCCAGAATATTGGTGTGTCTCGGTTTGTGATACTTACACTACTTACTAGCGTATCTGCGTTCAGATCATGTTCCGGATTTTCCAGAAATTCCTCTGCTTCTCTCATGATACGTACTGTACTAGTACTGTACTCGACTACTCTTTTGACGAGTTTCGCCCCGCCGTGCATCGGGCATTCACGCACCCCACCAGCTTCCAACTATAATAATTATGAAGATCGATCCCATCATTCAAGAGCATTCTTTACTGTGCTGGACTACCCATTAAGCTTTTTGGCGTGTTTTACCCCTGCTCTGATCCACCAAATCCTCCACTAGCTTGGACGGAACCTGGTATGCCCCGAAGTTCCAACCCCAGGGTGCATTGACAACACGTGAAGTCAAAATGGCATTTTTGCCCAATTATCTTTTACTGGCATGCGTGCCAGAGGTATGTTGCTGAGAAGGCTTTGCCTTGCTCTGGGTGTGGATATGTGTCCCGGGTGGTGTTTTCTTTACCCGTATTATAGATAGCGTAGTCAGTTCTCGTATCATGGGAAATGTGGTCAAGGAGGGGCCAAAGTCCACGGAGTGGCAATGGCCCGACTTCCAGTATAAGCTCACTTCAGAGCCAAGTTGAGCACATACTACATCACCAATAAATTAATAATACCGGCGATTAGAGGTCTTTTAAACAGAAGTAGCATTCACTTCTGGCCCTCTCCGGTGCTCCCTGAACCATTTGCTGATATAGCCAAACTCTATGGAATCTTGAAAGGGTCACATATTGAAGCCACACGATTCTAGATTCCAACGAGCATGGCGGCTCCCAGATCCCCTATACCAGAGGCGCAACAGCTATACAGGGAATGACCGGAAGTTGTGGGTATTTTGCGGCGGTGAATTGCCAGCTCTATGGCTGATTTTTGTATTAGATCACCTCCCACAAAATGCCCATAGTTTCTATCACTCCCCGTACTTCATCCTCAAAATCGATATCCCAATCTCCGCTGGATAGTATTCCCGACAATAGCATCTTGCGCGCCAAAGCTTACCAAAATCTAACAATAATTGTTGGGCACACAGAACCTACACTAACAGCACACGCCGAAAACTCTTATGTTATTAGAACTTAGCCGACTAAGCACCCTCACCTTCGAATATGGGTGAAGATCTGACGCCTTTAGGGGGTCGTGTTCCTGGGGTAGCTGAGTATATAAATATAAACCAAACATAATCAATGGAACTGCCATCCATACCCACGAATTCATCTATAATTTTCTGCGTAGTAAATCCCTTATCATACAAACCTATCGAAAAAACACTAGCCTCAATGATTCCGATATCAGTCGACAGGCGTTTCTGCCCCCTTCCACTCTTCATATACATGCTTAACACTCACCTTACTCTACACCATCAGACTCTAGTGCACTCACAGCCCTATTGAGGTCAAATATTAGTTGCCGTATGATACCTTCTCAAGACCGATATACTCCAGCAATACCTTGATGGCGATCACCGTTTGCCATGACTTGAAACAGATATGATATCTCTTCAGAAATTATTATAATGTTGATAAAATTATGCTATAACACAGCTGACACAGCTTAAAGCCCGGAGTATACCCTATTGTGGATACCTAAAGCCATTGCATGGCTACGATATTGGAGGGTTGATAGCAAAATGACTGGGCTAACGAAAGTGATAGCGAATTCAGGAGCGGCAAATAATAGAGAATGGTAAAAGACTTTCGAAGGTCATGTTTTCCGAAGACATAACACCGCCAGAATGCCTAGCAATAGAAACTTTGCCCCTCTAGACCAGGCTAAGTGCCCTACCCCTAAGCCCGCCGCTAGGTGGATCCAGTATGATATGATACAGTGCAATGAAGCGCTGTCCGAACAAGAGCCTCAACGCAAGCCTCCTAAAGCCAACGTGGCATTTCTCAAAGCTCATGTGATACTAGGCCTAAGCAACGTAGGGGCTACGGCTAGTAGATACCCGAAACCAACCCTATGTCTCCTTAAACCCCTGGGTAGAATTCCAGAAGCATCAGGTGCTCACTCAAAATCATAAGCAAAATATTTCGAGTGAGCTTTTATGATTTTCCGGCGACAGATCATGATACTTAAAAGTACAGGTACATATGGTTCAGGGTTATGGGTATCATCTGCTAGCGGCTCAGAGCTGAAAGTCGACAGGTTATCACAATACTCTTTAAGTGAGTTTAGAAGCACACTTTTGCGGTTATCACTAGTACAAATCCGATAAGCAACGGAACGTCACCGAGCAGAGCATTCCAAAATCAAGGATATCGGAGGCGGATGCGAGGGTTGTGGTGAAAAAGGAAGAGAGGGTAACCGATAATTCTCATAAATTTAGCCGTGGATGGCCTTTGGTATTTTTTTGTTTTTGTTTTTTTTCTTTAATCCCTGAAGTCCTTTGGCCAGCAAGCACCTCCGTGCTTTTTTCCTCTTGCTTTTCTTTCGAAAACCTTCTTTCCCTTCTCACAGCAGTCCCTCTCACTTCACCCGCCCATCCTCGCCAGTTTCCACCTTCCGCCTCCTTTCCGTGAGCAAAGCCGTTTTTCAACTCCACAGGACAGATCGCTAACTTCATTGTTGCTGACCCCTAGTCTTTCAACCTGGTGGATTGTTGCATCTTACGATCGGTTTGCCTTAATCTCTGCCTTTTCCCTTACTAACATCTTACCGATCACGCGCTTAATCAACGACGAAGCGATCAACGGCACAAAAAAATAATCGGAAATCATCATGTCCGGTGAGGCGTGGCTATACCTTCTAGCAGTATTATTAAATGCCGTCAACCTATTTCTTCAAGTTTTCTTCACCATAATGTTCGTATATATATATCAAGTTCTGCCCACCTCTTCAACCGATGAGACCTCTTTCCCGTTTATTGTCCGGGAGCTGACGTCCTGGTTTGGCTCAGGTACTCGGACCTCGAATGCGATTACATTAACCCCATCGATCTTTGCAACCGCCTCAACACCTACATCGTTCCCGAAGCCGCTGTCCACGCTTTCCTCACCGCTTTGTTTCTGGTCAATGGGTACTGGCTAGCGCTACTGCTCAATCTACCGCTTGTGGTATTTAACGTTAAGAAGTAAGCACTTTCTCTGATCTTTGGGGTGTTTTTTCCACTTTCCTTTTTCCTATTTTTTTTTTCCTTTTTCCTGGAGGTCCACACCCCTATGACGTGATTGGTTGTCATTGTGGGGCAGGATTTATAAGTGTTTTAAATCTACCATACCTTATTTCTCTTTTAACACAGGGCTGACTTATTGAACAGGATTCTGGATAATGCTCATCTCCTGGATGCTACGGAGATCTTCCGAACACTGAACAAACACAAGAAGGTAGGTGTCTTGTCCGTTATATTCCTGCTTTTGTTCATCCTCTAACCACCTACCACATTGAATTATAGGAATCTTTCATCAAACTTGGTTTTCATCTTGTCATGTTCTTCTTCTACCTATACAGTATGATTGTTGCTCTTATCAGAGATGAGACCAACTAGGTTGAACGAGAAGCATTTACTCAGACTGTGTGGGACACGTTTCAACGGAGCTGAAATGGATGGACTGCTGGAGCATTAGGCTATGTAAGGGGTGCATCTTATATTAGGGGTCTTGGGCTTTAGTGTGTCGTTGGGCGTGGAACTGGAGAGCTGGTTGGGGCTTGGAGACAAGGTGTATACGGCGTGACATCCTTTGATGTCTTATAGTGGGAGGAAGAGTTAAGAGCTATGGCGGTGGTGCTCATTGCTCGCTGTCTGTTTCCCTGAAGTTACTGCTATCATACTTATGTATAGATCTTACCCTTTCCTTATTTTTATTTTTTCTATTTTTTCATATTTTCAGCTATCGTTCTTAGTTCTCTTTCCAGCCCCGGTGCTTCCTTCTATTCTCCGTTCAGTTATCAAGCGATTTTTTTCTCATTTATTTCTTTGATTTCCCCCATCTTCAAGATTTCTCTGCAGTTTGCATCGAGGTAAGGAGTGGTTTTTCATGATACTCACGGATTCAGAATGGAACGGTTTTCATTTTTTTCCTTTTTCTTTCCGCTCATTGCTTGGGTCGTTTGGAATAGTAATTGGAAGGACAGCTGGCTAGTGAGCTAGCAGGGGAAAAGGGTGGGGGGAACAGAATGCCCTGTTATGTACGATGAAAGCATAATTCATGATTCATACATGATCACTCGCGGAGTTATCAAGCATCCCATCCCACTGCTGCGAATAGTCCCGGCGGCCTTGCACATGATCGAAGTTCCAACGTTTAGCCGTTTGGTACAGGACCAACAATTAGCACGAGATGATGAAACCTCTTAATCATAAATTTCTCGTCATAACCCAAGAATACAGTACGAGCAGAGAATACGGTACGGCTGTGGGTCACATGAGGTTTGTCTCACCTGATCTCTAATGGCTTGAGCAAAGGGTGAGTACCGGTAAACATAGTCTAAAGTCATCCACAATGTCAAAGGGGGGTATAAAAAAGTTGACAAAATGATCGCGGCAGGGATCGAACCTGCAATCTCTTGATTTCAATTCAAAGTCGTAGTCAAGCGCCTTGCCATTGGGCCACGCGACCTTTCACTACGGAACACCAAACAAAACACTCTGCTCACACAAAAACCATTTGAAAATATCGCCACCACCACCACCACAACCCAGCTCCATCACGCTAAAAAAAAACCCGCATCAACCCACCACAATCACGCAGCAAATGTCCGATCCAAACCCACCACCACCACCACCCGCATCGACAACAGAGCCAGACCCAGAGGAAGAGTTAGCAGAAGGCATCCGTGCGACCGCCCTCCGCAACATCTTCACCGCGGCCCTCGACCGCAGCATAAAAACGTGCTCGTACGAGAACTTTGCCGCATGCTTCCCAACCCCGGCGCGGCGCGCGCCGGGCGTTCTCAGGAACGCCTGGGAGCAGATGTGCGGGTTTTGGGATAGCAGTGCTAAAGTTCGGTACCCTCGCTCTGTACAGGAGGGAATGGAATGAATGAAAGAAGCAGTGGCTAATTTCAAAGATACATAGAGAGAATACGAAACCATCCTGAAAGAACGGAACGTGGTTGCTGGTCTGAATGCTCTTGACGAATTAACTAAAGAAGCGGAGGAGCGCAGAGCGACAGCTGCGCCTGGGGAGATTGCCATTTCGTATTTACCCCCCCCGCACTACCTTTGCTCTGTTTTCCTTTCCTTCTACCGTAATGATGTGTACTGATATACGGAATAGTCCATCGACATTACCTCCAGTGACTATTCTCACGGCACAGCTCACGCCACTACTACTCGCCGCGCAGAAGGAGGTCGCGGGCAAGATTGAGGTTGTGCAGGGAACTAATACCGAGTTAATGGGGAAGATCGAGACCCAGAGGCAGGAGATTGAGGAGTTGGTTAAACTGTTAGAGGGAAGGTTGAGCATGCTGGATGGAGCTGTGGAGGTGGTTATGGCTGGGAAGAAGGAGGTTGTTGGGGAGGAGGTTATAGGTGATTGATTGACTTGACTGAGCATTGTTTTATATCATAATATCATACTTTGATTTTTTCCATCATATTATACCAGATCATGTACGTGTAGGGCTCTTGTCCGCATAATTTTTCGAGTGGGGGTGGAGGGGCAGGTACGATAGTTAATGATGCCCATCGTGAATTCCTATCCGTAGGTTTCTATCATACCGGACCATGCTCAGGAAAAGATGGTTCGATAAATAAAGGCAGACATGTGACAACCCCTCTCACCAACTCTAATTCTCAGCCTCATCTTCCCCTCCCGCCACTTGTAAAGTGAATCCCCCCCCCCGCAATGCCTAAACGTAGGTTCCCGCCTGTTCGCAGTAACAAGCGGAAGAAGGAGGTATGCATACACCAATCCCTCAAACCACAATACAAGTCCTAAGGCTAATTTACGGAAACCGGCCCGGTAGCTCCCGGAAACTTCAGAGGAATTCCTTGATGGTTAGCGAGGTTTTTTACTTGTGCTATTGGTGATCGGGATGGGTATGGTACTGATGGTATGGGAATTGTAGCTGGTATTGGATTGGAGGAGTCTGGGGACCGGTGGAGGGCTGGGGATAAAGCTAAGGTGCGTTATGTGTGCATTTGTTGTGTAGCGATTTGTGAAAAGATGGAATTGACACCTGTGGGATGGATGGATGGATGGTGCGGACGATACTAGGCTGGGAGGTTCTACTTTAAGGCTATAGAGAGTTACGAGGCGGCGTTGGAGAGGAATTCGAGGTCTTTTGATGCGACTTATAATAGGCAACTGGATTCCATTCATCTAGTCACAAGAGGTTCACCCACTAACCTAGGCACTGCAGAGCGCGTTTGCTATACCAGCTAGCACAACACCAAAACCTGCTCCCCACTCCTTCAGACGTAACCTCAAAATTGCTATTAGAGAAGGCAGTGCAGAGCCATCGGGAATGCCTAGTTTTGGATCCCGACAATCAAGATGCCTTATTGTGGGTCCCTCCTCCGATCCAATCCAGTTTGATAATTTCTGTGGAGCTAACTGGATACGATAGCAACACGGGGCAAGCACTTTGCAGCCTTGCTGAAGCCCTGGTCGAGTATAAGAACACACCTATCGAAGCGCGGTCTGAAGCTTGGAAATTTTTGTGCGAAGCGGTGGAGATATTTCAGAAATGCCTCCAGGTCCAAGAATTCAAGCGCGCCTCATTCGGCCCAAGGGACGGTAGCGGCGCCGGAGATGGAGACACTGACATGGATGCCGATGAGCCCCCGGGCGGATCCGGGAACCCCATTCCCAGCCAGGGGGGCCGGGAAGATGAGCAGATGAGTGAAGGGTCTGGAAGCGACAACGCGCAATGGGTGATCGTACAGACTCCCGTGACGTTGAGTCAAATTTTAGACACGGCACTTGCTCAACTGGAGGCATGTGCGTCATTGCTGCCACTTTGCGCGGTAGAGAACCTTGGAGGAAAGTCGTTGTCCTGGGCACAATCCATGGGCGAAACCCTGTTGTCGTCAAAGATAATCCCACTATCTCAAGAGACAGGGCGAGAGCAGGAAGTCGCACTTGCCAAAGCCAACTTTGAGGTGTCACTTGGAGAAGCTAGCTTTAGAGCAGGCTTGACCGACCTCACAGGGTGGGAAGCAGCGATCCACCTAGCCTTTCCGAATTCCGAAGGCACGACCCAAGGCTTTCAGGAACTATGCGATAGAGCCGACGCTCATATTCGACTTGCCTCTACCGCCGCAGATAAGACGGAGGAAGAGGAGGAGGAGGCCGTGGCGTATTTGGCTTGGAGACATTACGCGTTTGCTGCCAAAAGCTTGTCCGCGGCAGCCAAGCTTGAGCCGGGCAAGTCCGAGATTCACATCGCGAGAGGGGACGTGGAAATCTTAAGGGCCAAGTTGGGTGTCCCCGCTGCGGCGAAGAGCAGAGATGTCTTGGTTAAGAATGCGGGTGTTTACTACCGCGGGGCGAAGAGGCTTGAAGGCGATGTGAGGGTTAGAATCGAGGCCGCAGTTAAAGAGGCCATGGTGACGTTCGAGAGCGGGGATGAAGGTGAGCTGTTGAAGGGGGTTGAAATGGGACCCATCGTCAAAGAAGTTGTGGTGGAGGCGGTGGACGAGGGCTTGTTCGACGCAGAGTGGTTGACGAGAGTTAGCTTGGGGTGAGATGTGGTGCTTTATTCGTCCGTTCCTCCGTGCGTACCGTATGATACCAGTAAAAGTTATGATCTTGAGGGTGTTCACGATAATTTGGGAGTTCTTGAAGTACGGGTATGGAATGGTGGTTTGGTACACTCGATCTTCAGCTGCAACATGATGGTTTGATGTGCCTTGATCGAATGAATCAATGGATGAATGAATGAATGAAAAAACCTTTGCTTCACGAGTACGCCACCATAAAATAGTATTCATACCGGTATTCATACCGGTATTGATCTTGTTTTGAGTCGGAGTATTACGGGATTCTATGCATATTTCCCCTCTCTCACACTTTCACTCCAGACATTCACCCCATTCCCTTCCATTGCTGTGTGATGCTCCCGGCGGTCGTCTGCCCGTGGATTCACCCCGGCCTTTAATCTACCGGCATCACTAAATACCTTTTGTTCCTACCGGTATCCACCCTCTCTTACTTGGTTCGCACCTTTGACTTCCCCCATTGGGCCAAAGAAATTGGGCCGCCAAAGACTTTATCAAACTATTTAGGGAGGGGCTTTTTTGAGATTTTCATCTCTTTTCTCCCCACCCCTCCCTCACAGCAAACACCTCTATATATACATCACAATACCTTTCGACTCGGAGGCTGAGTGGTCCAACAGGGGGGAAACCCCCTCAAATTGAACCCCGGCATACAGGCGGGATACATTTACTCAAATACCTATATGCTTGCACGCATATCGATATCTATGTGATGGAACGGTTAGACTGTCTTACCCGCTGCTGCAGAGGTACGGTAAACAGAACTCGCTCCAAACCAAACCGCTGCGATTGATTACCGGCAGCATGAATGAGGGAAGAGGAAGGTGGTTTTTCTTCCATTTTTCATGCCGTTTCCCACACGAGTGATGCGCCTGTTTTAAACCTTTCTGCGTTGTTCTGGAAGGGGGACGCATCTCGCTGGTTGTAAGGGAGAGCCAGCGAAAAGGCAAGCCATGAAACCTCGGGATGAAGTGTCGGGGCAATTTGATTTGTTTCCTACCCGTACTTAACTGTGCGGTACACCACTCTACAATGCAGTGCACACATTCTCTCCTATCTCTCTCCTATCCCTTAAGCAAGTTGTTGCTGCTTCAAACCATAACCAAGACAGTTTAGGAAAGAGCCTAGTTACAGTTACAGGGGAGGGGAAGGAAAAGGAAGAAAAAAAGTGGGATATGATGGTACTTGTACAAGTGCTAGGTAAGAATTTTTCGTACAAGATAGGAGTGTTAACTAGCAAAACAATCCCGGCTTGTACGAAAACTTCCTTCCCGGTACCAGTACCGTGCTGTGCCAGGAGTCTGGGATTTCTTCATACCAAAGGAATACCGTAACTTATCTTTGGCATGTTTGGGTGCTGGCAGCTCCGCGGCCTGTCGCTCTACTCGAGTAACGCTTCGGGTTCAAGTTACCCCGCTAAGTCGGGGTAGTGAATGGCAAAGCCAGCGGGATAGCAAATGACCTTCAGAGGATGATCGCATCACAAGACACTCATATTTCTACTTGGCGTTTCCGCCGATCATCCTCTATCTCTTCGCAAAAGAAAACCTTACGGTACAGCTCAATAAATCAATCCCTTCAAGAGATCACCTAATAATTTCTTTATAGTTCACATCTCTGCTCCCTAGCCCACTACCCACGACACTTTTCTCGCTCCCTCCCCCAATCCACCCTGAATCAGGATTAAATTTCGCCCGCACCCACACTCACTACCGGAATTTCTTTGTTGTTCTTGCTTTGAAGGTTTAACTTGCCCACCGTACTTGCTGGACAAGTACCGGTACCTTAACTCGACCGTGCTGACAACCCTACCACTAGTTTCCGGCTATTTCATACATAGCCTTACAATTCCTTATCTGCTTTTTTACGATACCGGTACTATATGATACGAGTCCCAGCTTTCTTTTTCTTCTGGGATAACACATAACACAATAAGCGGTCCTCAAGCCGCTACCCAAGGAACGTGCCGTTCGGGATCCCCCGGGGCTGGCGGGGTAGCCTGTATAATAGCTTGGACTTCCCTAAAATAAACCAAATCGAGCTCGTTGGGTGGTGGGGAAAGAGTGCGTGAAAACGCTTTCGTGCCCACTCGCAGGGTACTGTACATATTGGGAGTCGGTTGATAGCTGTCCAGCGTTGGGCAACACCAACAGTTTACTGTACTGCTACTACACTACTATTACTACCCCAATTGCTACTACAACTGCTGTTGTACCTTAAGAGTACCACTTACCGTATACCAACTTCTATCACCAACCAAAAACAAACAGTTTGTTCTGGCAAAAACAAGGGAAAATCCAAAAATGTCAAACATCGGTGGCCCCCAAACCACTGACGGAGAATGCGGTTCCCGCATTACCAGTTTCCTTCCACACCCAAACCCCCTCCCCCCGACCGCAACAGAGCACTGTCACCCCAGCGGCTACAACACCTTCCCCAACACCCCCGCTCCCTTGATCCCCACCAGCCCACCCAGCTACAATGACATCTCCCTACCGCCGGCGCGCTTCAAAATCTCCCCGCGTGAAGAGGAAGGGAAAGAGCAATTGCCAGCCTACAGCTGCTCCCTGCACCGCGAAGCCATATTTGAGCAAAAGATGGAACTAAGTAGTCCTTTCGACCGGGCGGGTGTGCGCAAGTGGGGAAAGGTGTATGCGGTCTTACACGGGACACTGCTGAAACTTCACAAGCCAAAGCGTACCCCATTTTTTGCGAGCAGGAAGCCAAAAGGGGTGGACGAGTGGGATGATAGTGGGGGTAGTGGTGATGGTAACAAAATAGTGGGCAGGAGACCGGTGGGGTATTATCCCGGGGAGCTGATTGGGTGTTATACACTGCAGCTGGCGGAGGTGGGGATTGCGGCGGATTACAAAAAGTGGGGTGCACATCACTCCCAGAACTGCATATCATCGCCACGTGCTAACTATGAGAAACCGAAGGAGACACTTCGTGATCCGCCTGCGCGCGCAGACAGAGCAATTCTTGCTATCCGCGAAAAGAGTAGAAATATTCCTAGACTGGCTAGAGGCGCTAAGCGCAAGTGTGGATCTCTCACCATCACTCGAGGAGCGGTCGCTACCGCGATACCAGACGCTACCGAGGCGGAGGCGACGGAGACAACCACACCCTCCCACCACTGGAAGCACAGCCACCACCTCCGCTGCCTCTACCACTACCGCTACCACTGTTCCAACGACACAAGCACCTCTCTCCCCCCGCTCGAGCACCGTCCTAGAATTGATGATGGGGGCAGACCTCCGCTGCCTCTTAACCCCCCCGCAAACCAACACCCCCATCACTCCTCCTGCACCAGCAGCGACCATACCCCCCAACATTCAACGACCCCAAATTCCCTCGGAAAAATGGTCCCCCCCGCGCATCCTAACTGCTGAAGCAAATATACGCTACACCCGCCGCTGCATGGCCGTGCTCTGCGGCGACGCGCCCAGACAGAGCAACTACGTAGTGCAGGACGGGAAGCGGTACAAGATTATCTGGGAGAAGCGGGAGATGGTGCTCGAGAAGATCTGGGTGGACTTGCCGAGGTATGAGGATGTGGTCGAGCTGGGGTCTTGATGGCCTAATATTTCTATCGCATTTCCTTTCTTCCTTACTAACTTTCGATTGAGTCTTGGGTCACGGTGCGTGGGGAGTTTTATCTACTTTTTGTTTTTGCTTTTGGGATGGAGTATTTTTGTCCGTGGATCAAAATTGTGAGGGAGTTTTCTGCATTTTTTTCTTCTTTTCTCATTTCGGTTGAATAGGTGCATGGATGGAGGAGGGATGAACATTGTGCAGAGTGTTGTCCTTCTCCCGACTTGTCCATCCATCCAACACAAATACCGGTACACCATACCGGTACTCCCCGAGCCATTTTCTTGTCTTCCAAAAATCACACCCCCTCACTCGCCACTTCTTTTTTCCTATTTTTCCATTCTCCTTCCTTCAACAGTACTTCGCGTGCAACACGACTCGACAAAACATAGTTCACCGCCATACCTATCTTATACCTACACCTAAACATCATACATAACGCATCCCTCCTTCCATCCCCACATCCATACATACACACATACATACAAGTAAATAAAAATAAATAAATAGGTTTTTTTTCTTTTTTTCCCCAAGTTAACACCAACCTTCGAAAAGGAAAGTGTAAAAACAAAAAAAGGGTTTCGCCAACTAGTTAGTTTTAATGGAAATGCTAGGATGAATGGATGGAGAGTAAGTGGTAAGAGATATGGTGGGACAAGATGGAAAATGGGGTAAAATGGATAAAAAAAGGAAAAACACCGTACCCGCTCCGAAGCAAAGCTATTCCGAGGCCTTTTTTTCTTTGTTCCAATCGTAGCGCAGCATACGAACCGAGCATGGCCACACCAGCCAAACCCTCCCCCCTCCATTGACTGTTCCACCATACCGCGGATCCCTAGGCCAGCGAAGAAAAAAAAAGAACCCCCCCATAAAGAAGGAAAAGAGAACAGGGGAAAGAAGGGACAAGAAGAGGTATAATTATAAAAAGGTAAAAAGAAGTAAAAAAGCCCCCGCCCGGCGGAAGGAAGGATCAGCTCTCCCCACCAGCCTTCTCCCCCAACTTCCTCTCCGCATCGGCCAGTCTACCCTTCGTATCTTCCAGCTCCTTCTTCAACTGCTTAATATAATCGATCGCCATTTCGACGGTACTGGCCTTGCTCGCCTGTCCCGCGCCCGCACTACCTCCTCCGCCGCCTCCTCCACCCCCACCATTAATACTACTCCGACCCTCTCCTCCACCTCCTCCATCGGAATTACTCCCCCCGCCGGAAGAAGAGGGAGTGGCCTTTTGAGGCAACAAGGAGGCGATCTCAGTGAGTGCGTTATTGATTCTATTTCGACGGCCCTGCTCAGCGATCTTGTGTGATGTTCGTTTCGAGGTTAGATTTGTCGAGAGGTCGGCTGGGTATGAGAGACCTAATTGCTTATGCGTGCCCTCAACAATGTTTTGGTAGTTGGATTTCAGGAGGAGGGTGGACGCTTCGGGGGTCATTCCTGGATGGGGGGATTCGAGGTTAGCGGGGGGTCTTGTCTATAGTGGGCTGTGGTATGACGATCGGTGGACGGGGAGAAGGGCTCGCTTTTCCCGTTATTGGAAACGAATAAGGTTTAGCCGTGCAGCCTGAGGAAAATCCTCATCTGTGGTAAAAGGCGCCAATACCCGAGCAGGATGCGCAGGCGGTTTGCTTCCCGAGGAAAAAATTTCCCCTTTCATACTGTGCACCAACGACAAGGGGGGGGGGTAATCAGGGCCCACTTTGGAAACTCACCTGAAGGTAATAGAGGCTTGATACTTGGCGAAATCTTGGGCTGTAGCCCAGGGCTCGAACTAACGCTCCCCCGTTTCCCCCCGCGTCCACTAGTCCCACTTTTGTTAACCCTTTGTTTGTTAAGGACACTGCCCGGCGTCTGTATGTTTATCGGACTTTCATGCCTTGACCCCGATGAGACACTACTACCTGATGAAGGCACCGGCTTCAGTGATGGTGTCTTGCTAGCTCCAATAGTGGGCGTTGATTGATTGTCTGCATCAAGATGCGGGGACGCCATAATCGCAGTTGCCCCTCCACCTCCCGCTTCATTATCATTCCGGGAAACCAGGGGAGCATCGGCCATTACCCTCTCGACGTCGCCATTCAGGAAATCGGAAGTCTCCATAGCTATTGGCGGGATATCTTCTGTCGGCAGATTCGTCTTCGTCAACTTCATCAATGACGCGGGGGTTGCTGGTGCTCCAGGTGTTGTTGAGGTGGACGACCCATCGTCTGATCGACCATTCTGTGGGGATTGGGAATTGCCATTTCGAGGTGGTGGGGGCGCCATCAGGACCTCCGGTAGAGGCTCAGGAGATACCGATTCGTTCGATGAGGCATCTGTACTTGATTGGAACCCCATCTGCTCCCGACCCCGGCATTGTGATGCACTTTGCCGGACCGCCGTGGGGGTTGGGGGCTGTTTCGAAAGTGCATTCGCGAGCTCTGGGGTTGCGGCCAATGCTGCTGGTAACTTCTTCCTCTGCGCCTTCATGCTTGGCGACTCCCGGACCACCCGGGCAGGATTACGGGACGTGGTCGATTTTCGTCGGCCTGTGCTTCCCCGTTTATTGATGTTCGGGGAGTCAACTGGGTCAATCGGAGATGCCGATTGGGAGTGGGTGTGCATCATATGTGGATTGGGCATATGGGTCCTATGAGGGTGAGCATCGAGGGCAGGAGAGGTCAAAGGGCTAAAGTAGCCGGGTATTGTGAATTCAGGAACCTGGTGTACAAAGTTGGTGTCCAGGGGAGTGACCGCAGGTGAAACCAGAGGTGTAAATATCATCTATCAATGTCAGTGATTCAATTAAAGATTGCCAGGATAGGCAAGGGTGAAGAATCACACCTGCTCATCTCTTAAACTATTATACCTTTCCATCATGATATCCGATTGCGAACCCATATGCGAGCACGGGCCATGTGGAAGGCCGGTCTGAAGGTCGATACTCGAGGGGGTAGGGGGGATCATCCCACCCTGTATCATGTGTTGGCGAGCTAGCATTTGCGAATGGTGTTCCTGCTGGTGTTGGTGCTGTTGGTGGTGATGGTGATGGTGTTGATGTTGATGCGACGCCCGCAACGAATGCAAATCATGAAACCGCAGATCCAGCATGTCCTCCGAACCCAATAAACCCGCCGTGTCTAGTGGGCCACCCACATCACTTGACTGTCCATTTGCCCGAAGCTCATCGGCATTCGTAAAGTCGGTATCCATGGCCGGGTGATCATCTTGTGCACCCGTGGTGTCGAATGGCGAAGACATGCTCAACTGAATGTTGTTGAAGTCGAATAGACTTGAAAAGTCCTCGGTAGCATTGTCTCCTGATCCGCCCGAGGTCGGTGAGGCCTGGTGGTGGTGAGACCACAGGGAAGTGCCATCGTTGTTCATAATATCGCTCGGGATTTCGTCAAGAATGAACCGCTCCTTATTAGGTTATGGGAGAGTGATGCGTTTGAAATGAATACGCGGGCGGGAAGTTGCAGGCAGAAAGGCTGGCCGCAGGTGGGGCTAAAAGGGCGGGAAGGGATAGGGCGGCGAGGAGTGCAAGAGGTACTTGTAAGGCCAGAGATCTAGAGAAGAAGCTAACCCGGGGATAGCAGCGTCCTCGGGGAAATGATGAGGAGAAGAGAAAGGAAGAGAAGTAATTGAGCCCGCGTGTGGGCCGCAGGCAGTTGCTAAGAATAAGCAACTCCGCAGTCGTATCCTTTTCCCGTAGACGGCGAAATATGGGATTTCTAGCAGAAAATCTATTCAAGCCAGGTTTCTTCCTCCTCCCCTTTTTTCCTCTTCCCTCACCCTTGGGCTACCGCAAATTGGCGTTTTGCGGGTGAACCTCGATTCGTCCTGCTCGAAAAATATTACCTAAAGCGAGGTCAAGAGTGTTCCTAAGGCGAATAAATAAAATAGAATACAAAATGTGGAATATAAAAAAAGAGAGCGAGTCGTGTATTTCAGTCTATCGGAAGTGATGTAAAATATTGGTACAAATACCGGTATGTTGCGGCCATTTGTACGGCTACCAGTTACCAGAAAGTGCAGTGCTTGGAGGGATTGTGAGAGGTGAACGGGGGTGGGGAAAGGTATGAGAAGATGAGAAGAGGGAAAAGACATACAGCCGGGATCGGGTGATAATCATCTGTGATTGGTCAGTTTTTCAACGACGTCCCCTCCTAAATGGCTCCGCCTAGGCTTGAAAAACATTTCCCCCACCTCCACGAAATGGCACGCACTTTATCATGCTATTCGCACTACACAACTTATAACCCGTTGGTAAGTTAGAGTGCATACATATATACATTGTAGATTGACACAACGGGCAATGGACAGTTCAGAAATTCATAGACCGGCCTTCTCTCCCCCCTCTCCCCCCCATGAGATCATTGGTAGGTTCATAAAAGTATCATGAATGACAAACCCATGATGGGGGGCTGTCTACCATATAATATTCTTGTCCAGACCCCGGCACTTCTCTTCGCATAGCGGCACGGTTTTCCATAGACTAGCACTTGAGCGCACAGCACTCCCCATCATCCACCCACCCATTTTCCCAAACTTGGGAAATCGTGCCTTTTTGCCAGCTTCAGAACCGTAGAAATTCTCCGGAGATAATTCAGACTAGCCAAGCCCATCCATGGTAATTTCAGGAGGAACCCTTCAAGTGTGCGAAGCCACCTATCGTACAAGTAGAGTAGACTACCGCTGTAAATTATCGGCGCGTTGCTCGTGCGTCCTCTACTGCCGTGATTGAAAAGGAAAAAAAAAGGGATAATCGCGGGATGGAATCTCTCATCCTGATCGCGTGAGCACTTTCTTCTTGATAAAATAAAAAAGGACCCAACAAGCAATACCGGTATGCCTACGGGCGCCCCTCTCATCCATGAAACTTTTCAGATTTAAGGCTCAAGGGAACCAATCTGATGAATTTCTACTCGAGTATGGCGCAAAGACTGTACTGTACTTGTACGAGTACCGTAGATCGTCGCTACAAGTACCTGTTCCAGGCAAGAAATATCGGAAAACAGAGGGGGTATATCCTGTACGGTATTGGCGCCCAGATATGCACAGGTTTTTTTTGCCGTGTATTTCTTCCTTAATCCCTGTGTTTTCGGATACCGTACTTCTTGCCTAGTACGAGTAATACTCGTAGACAAGTGTTGCAAAAAGCGTGAGCTCCAGCCGAGATAACCAGTATTATTGCAAGCCAGAAAATATAGTATCGTAATAGCCATGGTCTCTTTAGTCCCATGCCGGCAAAGGCTCACGGACGTCAATCGTGGGGGGCGCACTGGAAGAAAGCCTACAAGTACTGTACGAGTACAGTACTCGTGCCGGTACTGCCCAAAAATATTGAAAATGGAGCAACCGAACGTAACAGCATGGTAGGGTTTATTCTGCCTACGGTATCATCACACGAGTAGAAACACTGCTGAAAAACTCCCACTTCCCTCTTTAGCCGATAGTGGACTTCGATGGACTAGATGAAGCAAAAGAATGCGACGAAAGACTTGCCTAGCCATAAGGAATCCGCAGAGAAGCGAGCCCAGTGGGAGCCCGGAGGGGTCCGATAAGCCAAACGCAACCCTAAACCACCAACCCCTACCCAAGACAAGGGGAGGTATTTCTCGAATCACTCACTCTCTGTGTTTCTAATAGAAAAGCGCAGTTACCGAGGAGGAGCCATTGAGAGCGCGTACCATCTTCGAGACTTCCATATGATACTTACCATGCCGTACGGTACTCGAGTACCATATCATCTCGCACACCCCGTTGATTCCGCAGTTCTCTCAGGTTCCCTTAGGGGGGCAAGAAAAAAGAAACGGAGCAATCCGGGGATTGCATGCAAGTCAGAGCAACGACATTGAAACCCCATCGGGAATGGGGAACAGGCTCGCTAAAATCCAATCCCGAACAGCACTACATCACGTTAACACATTATCGCTTCTCACAAAACTACAGATCTGTCACTCATCAACGCCCCTTCGTTGTGTTGAATCTTGATTTCCCTTTCGAAATCCTCATGATCGGTTACAAGTCGCTTGGCTTTCACGAAAAGCCGCTTTACCGGCACCGTGGAAAATACATCGATACCCCGGTCGATTAACAGCTGTCGTTCAATCGACCAATAGGGTGCTCACATAGCTAGCACTCGCACTACCTATTAGCCAATAAGATCCAGCGTGTCTACTTGAATAGCCAGCGAACAGTGCGTGCAGGGGGTTAATCCGACATTCGGGAATCGGGAATGTGTGATGAAAAAAATTAGGGAGACCCGAACGAGGACAAGCCTGAGGATTGAAAGAATAGGAATTACTCAAAAGAAAGACAGGGGAGCCAATATCGCAAGCGTAGATTCGTATGATAAATAACTTGACAGCACCGCTAGTACCGTTACCTCTCATTTGCGCAAAATTTCTCGGTAATTCAAGGGAATAGAGGGATCAGCCCCGGGCCCGGAAAACTTACAAAATGCCTCTCAACTTTGGGGTTTGGGAGCCTCTAACCCCAAACTTTCCCCGACGCCCTAAAAGGGATTATCTGTGGCAGCAGAATTTGAAGAAGTCGGGGACGACGTCTCACATTCCAGCAGTTTGTGCTAAAATGAAGGAGAAGCGGGGCTTCCTGCTATTCAATAACTGCATCTCAATCCTAGCAGTCAAGCTACCCTAGTGCTCTTTAAGGGCTGTGAAGGTCCTGAGCAGAGACTTTCGTCATGCCTGCTTCCAAATTCAGTGGGGACCGATGACGATTCCTTGACCCACTAGCACTTCTATTCATCAGATATCGTGTTTTATGGTTCCTAAATGGGCCAAAGATTCGTGGATAAATTTATTCACAAGAGCACAGAGTCCTGAAAACTCTCGCACTGCGGGTGCCAGGAAAATGGCGTACTATTCCTTGTCCTATCGACCCCCAACCCCCACGGATGCTCGAGACGATTTGATGTGTTCCTTGTGGTTGGGGGGGTCCGTGGGATGTATGATGATGACTCCTTGGAACATGCCATGTCTTGCGCATTTGGAACCCACCCCCGCGATTTGGATCATTTGAACTTACTCCAAAACCTCCTGCCAAGCGATGTGCTCGAGTAAATGCTCATGGCAGGCAGGAAGCGCTCGAGTGCCCGAAGAGGGCGGTTCGCAAGATATACAGTCAAACCTCGCTGTCCCGGATCACGATAATCCGGATACCTCGCTGTCTCGTATGAATCTCAGTGAACTCTGAATTTCCTTCTACCGAAGCCTGGCCCGTTGTCCCGGATCCCTCGCTGTGCCGTACGGATTCTTCGGATTTTAGCCGTCCGGGATAGCGAGGTGCGACTGTATGGCAAAAAAAATCATTGCGCATCCGAGCGCCCATACAAACTCCTGACTCCTGTTTTTGGATACCTCTTGCCTGCGGTGAGCACAAGTACCGGTACAATAAGGTCCACCTCCTTTTAGAAGCCAGCCTTATTGATAGCGTAACCATAACACAGGCGCGGTGTCGAAATATTCCCAGAGCGAAGACGAAAAAAGTGATCCCATTGTGGTGCAATGTGACCAAAACTAAGCCCTTGCGCGACCCCAGATACTTGTGCCAGTGAAGTGCTGTACGAGCACCGGTGCCGAACCGTGCTCGTATAGCCAAGACGGGGATCGATCACGCTTCGTGGAGAAACATGATATGACCAGCAATATGATCAAAATACACGTTACACCGATATAAAAAATTTTCATCCCTGTATTCGCGGGGAAGGGCTGTCAAGCCATCAAGCCATGGTACCGTAAGAACTCGAAACATTGTCACTCGCGCTAAGAGGTTAAAGTAAAGTGTGGTGCTCGTAATATTAAATGAGAAGGAATCCTTCAGAATCCGTAGCTGTCTTAGACTATCAAACATATGCTTTGATCAACACTTTCAACCTCAGCTCGTATAGAAAAACCTGAGGAAAAGTCTAAAATGTAAATAGAGAAGAAAAAAGGGGGGAGAGAGAGTATAGAAGGCAGAAGAGAATGGACTTTTCATAACAGTGGAATTCAAAAAAAAACTCCATTAGTGGTCTTTTGGTGAACAATTGCCCATATTTTGCCATTAAACATATCTCCAAAAACTGTCGGAAGGGCAAAGGTAGAGTCAAAACTGCTACTCCTAGCTGTTGAAAGATTTTATACAAGAGTGAAAAAAAACACCAGGCCCTAAATGAAAGCCTCTTGCTACAAAACTGAAATGTGCACCCCTTCCAGTGGAAATACCCTATAGATTATATAGTATTGGCTATAAGATCCATGTACTTTCATACTGGGCTACAGCAAGTATTCCAATCGGGCCAACACAGCTTCAAAGCCTGATTCCAACTGAAACTGCCAACCGATTTAAAGTGTCAGTATGAAATCTACAATGGCGGAAGAGGGAGGAATGAGAAGGAAAGTTTACAAACCAGTCGAGCGAGCAATATTGAGTGAGGAGAGGATAGTGGCCGAGAAAGTAGGAGAGGCTAGAGAGAGAACTCTATGACTGGTTTTGATATCAATGAGCTTTAGGGGATATGATTTGCTGGAAATGGTTCCACCGTATTAGCAACGAGCTATATCAGGGTGTTAGGAGTACCAGAATCCGATACCTGGGAACCACTCTAAGTAGGGTAACTCCTCTCAGAATGGGAATCCCTGGACTCCAACACCACCCTCTGGCCTCCTGACAGGGCCTACATGTTATCATACAAATCAACCTCAGTTGAACCCTGTGACTATAATGCTACACCAGTAAAGGTGTAAGATTAACACTGTATATGTTACTGCCATCTGTCTGACAGGATCCTGTTTGCAGGATTTAATAGAGAGGACCTTCAGCTAGGTTTGGGAAGTAGAACAGAGTAAATCCACCAACTATACAGGAAATTACTAGGCTTTGAAGATGTGACATCTTTGGCATGAGCCATAGGTAACGGGACATTTTTGCATGAAGAGATGATATCGAATAATAAAAAATCTCAATGAGAACCAAATACATTCGCAGACAACATACCATACTCAGAAGAGCCTAGAACTTTGAGAAATACTACT